TTGTTCATCAGTGGTGAAAATGTGACAAAACCACTTAATGTACTTTAGGTGGTAGAAACAAAGAAACCTTATATAATTTAAAATGACAAACTGGACTCTTCAGCAACAGATTTTTCTTGGCTATCAGGATTCTCATAGTTTCAACGTTTCCTAATACAATAAGCCTCAACTACCCAGACCACTGGGGGAAGGAGCGCTGCTGGTTAATTTCATTTTCTGGTTTGCTGAGGGTGATCCGGAAGCCCTTTATGTTTCAGTCTTGTTACTGGCAACCTTCATAAAAGGTATGCGTCTGCTTTTCTGCCTTGGTAAGAACAATATGGTTAGTGTTATTGAATCTTCCCCTGTTGACTGAAACTATTGTAATGTGTCAGGATCGATCCAGATTGCATTGAGAGTGAGCAGGTGATGAAATCTGAGCCAAGCCCCAGGCAGTCTCAGAGTTGCCTTTTTGAGTAAGTTCCTGATTTAAACTTAGTCAGGCCTCTCTTTCTGCGTAGGTTTAGTTAAAAAAACAAAAGCTCTGGCTGGGAACAGAGAGAGGTGGGGGGATTTCGGTCTGTGACTCTAGTTGACTGATGTTCACCCACTGTGAAACCATCTGCGGAGCCCGAAGCAGGCAAGTTCTCAAGACGGCTGTCCGAAGGCCCAGGCCAACGCGTACTTGCCCAAGGGTGGCTAGCTGGCCTGGGTAGGGCCACCTCGAAGGCTGGCCCGTGGGCTTCAGCTGCTCATAGTGACGCAGGAATGCAGACTGACGAAGGAGTCCCTGGTGGCCATGGCAGGATGTCGCCTCCCGCACAGGGTGGAACTCCAGCCTTGTAGGGGCTTGGGAGAGGTCAGTCCCCAGGATCAGAATCCACGGGGTGCACAGAATGATCCTGTAGCCGGGGCCCAGATGTCTGGACAACTCAGACTCCACACCCAACTATAGACCACTGGTGCTCCGATCAGATGTGTCCTTCTTCCAGGCTCGGTTTATCCTCCAGGTCACCCCTCTGAGCTCCAGCCACGGTGACATCTAAATCTGCAATGGTTTAGATCTGCTTGTCTTCGCCTCTGGGCCCGAAGGTGTCCAAAGCTGATTTTCTCGAGAGAGCTGTAGGGTGGATGAGGCTGAGGCCTAGAGAGACCTGTGGACGTCTGTGAGCCAGCCCTGGACTCCAGCCTTGGACAGTCCTACGGCTCGCTCTACAACCTGCGCTCCCGTTGGCCTCAGGGGTCCAGCTTGGACTAACACTCTCTACCACTCACTGACCGGAGGCTTGTGTGCCACCTGGGGGGCTGACATAAAAAATTTCAGTGGCGGGCCTCATTTCCAAATTGTTATATTCTTATTGGGACTATGAGTTTTGAACCATTAGCTTAATATATGAAAGTCTCTTGCACATTTTTACAGGTCTTCCTTATTCTAACAATTTGTAATTTATTTGGGGTTTCTATATATATAATATTGACTGAGATCTGAGAATAATGAAAACTGGTTTCATTCTTGAAAACTGAAAGGAAGGCTTGGCCAGCATGGCTCAGGTGGTTGAAACACTGCTCCGCGTACAGAAGGGCTGCATTCACTCCCTGGTCAGGGCACATACCCAGAAGGGCTGCATTCACTCCCTGGTCAGGGCACATACCCAGAAGGGCTGCATTCACTCCCTGGTCAGGGCACATACCCAGAAGGGCTGCGTTCACTCCCTGGTTGGGCACATACCCAGGGCACATACCCAGAAGGGCTGTATTCACTCCCTGGTCAGGGCACATACCCAGAAGGGCTGTATTCACTCCCTGGTCAGGGCACATACCCAGAAGGGCTGCATTCACTCCCTGGTCAGGGCACATACCCAGAAGGGCTGTATTCACTCCCTGGTCAGGGCACATACCCAGAAGGGCTGTATTCACTCCCTGGTCAGGGCACATACCCAGAAGGGTTGCATTCACTCCCTGGTCAGGGCACATACCCAGAAGGGCTGTATTCACTCCCTGGTCAGGGCACATACCCAGAAGGGCTGTATTCACTCCCTGGTCAGGGCACATACCCAGAAGGGCTGCATTCACTCCCTGGTCAGGGCACATACCCAGAAGGGCTGTATTCACTCCCTGGTCAGGGCACATACCCAGAAGGGCTGTATTCACTCCCTGGTCAGGGCACATACCCAAAAGGGCTGTATTCACTCCCTGGTCAGGGCACATACCCAGAAGGGCTGCATTCACTCCCTGGTCAGGGCACATACCCAGAAGGGCTGCATTCACTCCCTGGTTGGGCACATATGGGAGGCAACTGACTGATGTTTCTCTTCCTCACACCCCCCCTCCACCCCTCTCTTCCTCTCTCTCTAAAGAGAAATCAATTCAAAAGAGAACTGAAAGGAAGTTGTATAACACATTTCAGGAGGATTCTCATGCAGAATGATAGACAGTAAGAAATCAATATTTATGTTTAACTCAAGAAACTATTAAAAACTATCACATGACCTCACTTATTTATGGAATGTAATGAACAAAACAAGCTGATGAACAAATAGACCCAGAGACATAGAAGTAGGGATCAGACTGACAAACCTCAGAAGAAGAGGATGGAGGAGAGATAAACCACAGGATTTATATGTATGTATGTGTAACCACGGTCATAGACAATAATGCTGGGGGTGAAGGGGTGGGATTGGGAGGAGGGTGTTCAATGGAGGAAAAAGGAGAAACATCTGTAACAAAAAAAATTACTAGCTATTTTCATCCATTTGTTCTTTTAAAATAACATTTAGACTCAACTTGATATACCCCCCCAAAATCATTTGGGAACTATATCACATTTACCTATCAATTTAAGACAAAAATATTTGCACCTAAGACTTACTAATCATTCAAGCAATATTATATGTCATTTAATAAAGTTTTCTTTAATTCAGAACTGGAAAAATTTTATGTTTATTATTAGGTATTATGAAGTTTCCTTTTTTCTGCTATTGGAAAAAATAATATTATTCCATTATATTTTCTAGTAGGTTGTTTCTAATTTAAGTAATACTAGTCTACAGATATTTAAAAAAATAAAATACTCTTGTATTCAGCTATTAAAAATAAAACACACACACAAAAAGAGCCACACAAACAAAAAAGAAACTATAAAAGAAAAGACTGATAAGTTCAACTGGATGCCAAACAGTATGGGAAAACATCTTCAGCCATGTCAAAGGAAAAATAACAAATTGGGAAAAATATTTATAATTCATAGACAAAAGGTGAATCTAAATTACATGAAAAGAGGTCTTAGACATTGACCCCCCTCCCCCCCAAAATAATTAAAATCCAAAATTTCAATGGAATAATGAACTAAGAACATACAAAAATTACCAAAAGGGAAATGCCAATGGCATTTAAAATATGAAAATATGGCCCTGGCCGGTTTGGTTCAGCGGTTAGAGCGTCGGCCTGCGGTCCTGAGAGACCCGGGTTTGGTTCCCGCTAGGGGCGCGTACCTCGGTTGCAGTTTGTCCCCGGCCCTGGTCGGTTGTGCGGGTGGCAGCCACTCGATGTGTTCCTTTCACATCGATGTTTCTCTCTCTCTCTCTGTTCCTCTCTCTCCCTCCCACTCTACCTGAACAAAAAATGGAAAAATGTCCTCAGGTGAGGATTAAAAAAAAAATATATATATGAAAATATGTTTGGTCTCATTCATATTAAGGAAAATGTATACTAATACTACACTGAGATATAATTTCTCACCCATCAGATCTTAACAACCCAGAGCTTGAAAATACCCTCTGTACCAAAGCTGTGAAGAGACAAGGACTCATATATTCTTCATGGAAGTGCAGATGGAAGTCAATGATAATATTTACCAAAATTACAAATACGGTCACATCTGTCTCAGTGGTCCCACCCGCTTTCTGAGAGTCTACCTCAGAAAAAAACTCTGCTCAAATGTATCCCACAGATGCACCGGCATCTTAGCAAGCGGTGTATGCACCTTGCAGCACTGTTTACAACAGCAAGAGACTGGAAACATCTGATGCTGTGGTGGGTGTACATAAACACATAATGGAATGATATGCAGCTATTTAAAAGAATGAACAGCCCTGGCCTTTTTGGCTCAGCGGTTAGAGTGATGATCTGCGGTCTGGAGAGACCCAGGTTCGGTTCCCGCTAAGGGCACATACCTCTGTTGCAGTTTGTCCCTGGCCCTAATTGGGTCGTGTGGGTGGCGACCATTCGATGTGTCCCTTTCACATCGATGGTGTTTCTCTCTCTCTCTCCCTCCCACTCTATCTGAACAAAATATCAAAAAAATGTCCTCGAGTGAGGATAAAAAAAAAAGAATGAACAGGCTCTGACATACAGCAATGAAAAGAACTCCAAGCTGCAGAACCATGCCATCTATTGTATGAAACAAAGCGGAAATTTTAAATATGTATTTTACTTTCCTGTATTTTTTATAAAGAAACATGGCAATGCCCTAGCCGGTTTGGCTCAGCGGTTAGAGCGTCGGCCTGCGGTCCTGAGAGAACCGGGTTCGGTTCCCGCTAAGGGCACGTACTTCGGTTGCAGTTTGTCCCCGGCCCTGGTTGGTCGTGCGGGTGGCAGCCACTCGATGTGTCCCTTCACGTCGATGTTTCTCACTCTCCCTTCCTCTCTCTCCCTCCCACTCTATCTGTACAAAAAATGGAAAAAATATCCTCGGGTGAGGATAAAAAAAAAAGAAACACGGCAATAAACAAAAACACTGAAATATAAAAAATACGTAAACAACTTGCATAAGCAATTCACAATAGAAGAAAAATTAACCGCTGCTAAACTGGAAAGAGAAAAGAAAGTTGAGTGTCTATCATGTGCCTGAGATTCTAAAGCTGAAAAGCAATCTCTATCTAGGGCTGTTTTGCTATTACTACACATTTACACCTGGCAGAGAGAAATCCAAGTCATCTGTCTCCATGTTCTAAGGACTGAAGGGAAAGAGGATGAGGAGAGAAAGGCAAAGTGTGTTCTGCTATTTTTAGGAGGAGACTTACTTTAATTGCTGAATATAGAGAATAGCCACAACGCTTCTTAAACTCTGCTCGAATGTCCAGAAGGTCAAGTTCTGATCTGGAAACCATTATTCGGTTCAGAGTGAACTCATCGGTTCCAGCGCCCTGTTAAGAAACGCAGGTGTCCACAGTACAAATTAGCCACAAAACAACTTATAGATCTATATTTACAAGAAATACTACACAAAACAGTCAACTACGTGACTCTTCACTCATTTAACATCAAACAAACCTCATCATTCATCTGTTCAAGAAATATTTATTGAGAACTTACTCTGCCACAACCATACCAAATGCTGAAATCAGAGACGGGATACCCTGTTACGCTTCCGAGTTTGTAAAGGATACAGGCAAGAAAACAGGCCATTACAAAATAACATGACATATAAGAAATACTGGGTACTATGGGCACATATATTAGGGGAGCCTACAATAGATAAAGGATTAAGAAACGCCTGTCTGAGAAGGTGGTATTTAAGCTAAGGCCGAAATAACCAGCCAGGAGAAGAAGGGGTGGGGTTCACAGACAGAGGGAAAAAAACGTTCCGGTGGAGAAAACAGCAGGTGTGAAGGTTTGAGGCAGGAAAGAATGCCGCATCCAAGGACACGTAAATACTGAGGAATAGCAAGCGATGTGTCTAGAAAGGCGTGATGTGCCTTGCAAGCCATGACATGAATTCTAACTGTACCCACGAGTGAAGAGCTGGGGCGACCTTTCACACGAGTGTGTGGCGATCGATGGGATTTGGGGTTTCTGGTCTCTCTGACGGCGGTGGGGGAAGGGAGGGCAGGGCAGGATGAGGACAACAGAAGAAGGCTACGCTCTGGGACTCCTCCAGAGGTGAGTGCACCAACATGACAAAGAGATGATGATGACCCGACCTAGAAAAACCGGGGCCATTTAAGAGATGCTTATGAAGGCAGATGCCAAAACCTGATGTATCATTTGAAGAGGACGAAGGAGAGGAAGAAACGTGAAATTCCTGAGCCTTGAAGTGGATATTGACGCAATTCATTGATTTAACAAATGCTTATTGAGCATCTACTATATGCCAGACATTGTTCCATGTACTGTGCATATGGTCGTGAACAACACAGACTATACCTCTGTCCTCATGGGGTTGCCATTCTAATGAATGGAGATGGTCAGGAAAGAAAATTAACAAATTATGTGAATAAACAGTAATGAAAACTATGGGATGGAGCGTAACTAAAAGGGAGCCCACTGACCTCAGTAGTCAGGGAAGAACTTTCTCAGGAGGTGACGTTTGAGCAGAGACCTGACAGAGGAGTAGGAGCCAATCCCAGGTAGCTCAGGAGGTAGGCTTCAGGCGGAGAGGACGCAAGTGCAAAGGCTCTGACATGGGAAGAGACTGGCAAGGGACAGAAAGGCTGCGGGCTGTGGCGCAAGGAACAAGGGTGGGAGGAAGGGTCTCACTGCAGAACCTGGGCAAGGGCAGATCCTGCCGGGCTGTCCAGCGAGCTGCCTGAACACAGGATGGGGAGCAGATGTGGGAGGGAGGTGAAGTGAGGTGAGCGAAATGATGTGTTCACTTTGGACATATCTCAGAAGGCGTGCGGACTTCCACAGAAAGTGTCCAGTAAAGACACCGAGGTCAGCATCTTCTGTGTAGCAGGGTCTGAGATATCCAAAGGAAAAGCAAACTCCTTTACTCGCAGAGTTCACCATCGGGCAGCAGCAACGGGTAAGAAAATGCAGGGCTGCTCTCTCATGAAAGGCTGCTGACTCCGTTTGGCTCAAGTAAGGCAGCTAGAGAGGCCACTGGACCTAATGGGTCGAGGCTGAGGTTTGGAGTTTCAAAACAAGTTCTACTGCCTCCACTTACTGTGAACTGTGGGAAATCACGCAGCCAACACTGCACTGTTTCTATCTCTATAATGATTAAGACACTCATTATCAATCCATGAGACAGATTAGTAGATGAATCAGCTAGAAAAGAGAACTCATCAAAGTGGACAAGAATGAAATTCCATCAGCTGTAACAATATTTTTACATTTTCCTTGAGGGAAGAGAAGAACATGTATAAAATTCCCAGACCAACCTTCAAAGCTTGATGCAGTCTTTCAGCTAAAAAGGCAGGCGTGTTCCTTGCACAACGAGCTGTATAAAAAGTAAAGCATGTCCACTGTCACTTAATAGAAACTGAGTTAATGTCACTTAATAGAAATTGAGTTAATAAATAGTAAGATATTTTTTTAATTGATTCTTTGGGGAACCACATCCATTCTAACCCCCCGCCCCCACTACTGGCTTTCATTTAGAATGAAGGGATGAATGTGTAACCTAAATCTCAAAGCCTTGTAACGTCATATTTGCACAGAACTTTAGCACAGAAATTCTCTTTGGCCATGAAATTACCTGCCAGAGAAACCCCCACAGCACATGACTCAGCTCCAGATGGCGGACACACCGACACCTACGCTGACACCGGTCCCTCCCGAGGGTGGACCTGCTCCATTTCTAACATCTCTGACTACTGATGGGTAACTTCGGTGTAAAGACTGCAGAGATGTTGTTCCAAATAACTTGTTAGGGAAGAAGAGGTACTGGGGTTCATTTAAAAACCAGTTTGTCAAACGGAAATCTTTTCTCTTAAGTGGCTGTGTTAGAATTTATAGGCAGTTAGAGTAATTACGTTAGAACCAACGCCCGTAGTATAAATTCAGTTACTAAAAATTACTGCAATCTTTCAATGCTTATTGTGAAATAACAGGAAAAGCAGAAGTAAAACAAAAAGGAAATTGGCAAAAGCATGAGCAAATTAGTGATCTTTTAAATAAAGTGAAGATCATAAGAACAAGAAAAGTTTGTAGAGAGTAAATCTATTTCTTGCAACACAATTACTATGATAATCCTAAATCTGATCTGCAGGTAGGGCTCTGCCAAAAGTGAATACATTTTATATAGGATGTTGGAGATCAGAGCAAGACTAAGTAGCTTTCTCATAGTGCCTTACAGGCTAGTCTCTCTTAAGGAAAGCAAAAAGGCCTTTAGTTTGTGTAATTGACTTCAGGGGAAATGTCACAGAAACTCAAATATGGAATCTGGGACAAACATGAAAACAGTGTTCGATGTGAAATTGTCTGAGAGTAAACCAACCATTTGGATTGGTTCTACCTATTTTTCTTCTGATATTCATATTAAGCAAGCCTTAATACTTTGATCAAAAGTTATTATGCCTACTTTTATCCTATTAAGCTTTTCAATCATCTCCCTCCCCCTAAATTATATTCCTATAGAATCCTTTCCCCCCATAATCCTTTAACTTGTCCTCAGCTTTATGTTCTTAAGCATCAGGTTTGTTCTTTATGTCTTAAAAACTTGGGAAGTGGTGTTATACACAGCAGGAGGAAGTTTGTTTTAGCACTCAACATCGAAAGTAGGAATACTCAGGAAAATCTCTGAAACTCAGGGAGTCCATTGAAGTTCATCACAATGACCACGAGTCCATGGTGGCCCATTTGTCACCCTTTCTGTTGTCCTGATTAACTTCAGTCTGTCCTGTCTGCTCCCTCAGGGCCCTGAACTCTGGCTTGCCTCCCTGCCTGAACAACCACTAAAACAAAATCCAGGCCCTCCTGTCAGCGTCTCCCAAGAATCAGCTGACAGCAAAACATGTGTCCTGTCAAACCCAATGACCATGCCCCCTTACTTATCCAACTTCCACTTAAAGGAAAAGCCTGTTCTGTTTGATTCTGAGACTCGTGCACCTTTCTGAGATGAACGTGTTCTCCCTACTGCAGTAGTCTTTTTGACTACAGCCTCTCCTATGTAAGTCCAGATTTGACAACTAGAAATGTTTTATTATTTCTAAGGTGATACAGCTCAGGTGGGTTTTCATAGTAAAAACTATGTGTTGATAAATTTAGAATAGGCAGGTCTATCAACATCGAAAGTAGATTAGTTGTTAACAGGGGCTATGGGGTGATTGCTAGTGGTACAGGGTTTCTTTGGAGGCTGATGAAAATATCCTAAATTTAGATTGTGGCGATGGTTGCACAACTCTGTAAATATACGAAAAAACAGTGAATTGTATATTTTGGGTAAATTTTATTGTATGTGAGTTCTATCTCAGTAAAGATGAGAACAACTGTGATGTATCCCAATGGTAAACAAATAGAAAATGGGTGTGATACATCTTGAACTTCAAATTAGTGGAATTATAAGGTCTTTCTCTTACTTGATGAACTAATATACATTATAGTCCACATTTAGTGTATCATTCAATATATATTTCTAAGAATGCTTCTTAGTTTAATGAGTTTGCATTTGCACATCTCAATGAAGTTGTCAAATATTGCAGGCAAAGTAAAAAGCAGCAAAACTGATATAAAGAGTAACAATGTGAAATGGAAAAAAATAAACCAGCTATATCACTACCACTGGGATGTTCTCAGAACTAATTATGGACCCTGATCTCTATTTCATACCTTTTAATAGAAAAATAAGCTTTTTTTTCTTTCTTGGCCTATCTTTTAGCAATTCAGGGTCAACAGTGTTTTCTTTCTTTCTTTCTTTCTTTCTTTCTTTCTTTCTTTCTTTCTTTCTTTCTTTCTTTCTTTCTTTCTTTCTTTCCTTCTTTCTCCTTCCTTCCTTCCCGTTTTTTTTTTTTTTTTAATCCTCACCCGAGGATATTTTTCCATTTTTTGTACAGATAGAGTGGGAGGGAGAGAGAGGAAGGGAGAGAGAGAGAGAAACATTGATGTGAAAGGGACACACCGAGTGGCTGCCACCCGCACGACCAACCAGGGCCGGGGACAAACTGCAACTGAAGTATGTGCCCTTAGCGGGAACCGAACCCGGGTCTCTCCGGACCGCAGGCCGACGCTCTAACCGCTGAGCCAAACTGGCCAGGGCGCTTCCCATTTTTTTTGAGCAGCATTTGGATAAAGAGCCCTATCTTGGCGCTGAAGAGAGGATTAGAAGTTAAGCGAAATAACATGTATAGAAGAAGCCCTGAGACTAGGGTCTAGAACTTCGTGAGTGGGTTGCTGCCTGGTCTATTTTCTGTAATTTACGTTAGAATAGTTCAGGACAGCCCTGGCTGGTTTGGCTCAGCAGTTAGAGCATTGGCTGGCAGACCAAAGAGTCGCAGGTTCAATTCTGGTCAAGGGCATGTACCTCGGTTGCAGTTCAGTCCCTGGCCCTGATCAGGGTCGTGCAGGAGGAAGGCAGCTAATCAATGTGTCTCTCTCACATCAATGTTTCTCTCTCTGTCTCTCTCCCCTTTTCCCTCCCTCCCACTCTATCTGAAGATAAATGGAAAAATATCCCCTGGTGAAGATTTTTTTAAAAAAGAGTTCAGCATAGACCGTGTGATACGTGTGTGTTTTAGATGGTGTCTGAACCGCACACGTCGTGTGGTTGGCTATCGGATTGTAGAGACCGACGGCTGGGTGGAACCTCAGCTTGACCTCACATTTCCTGGGGAACCTGGGGAAGGAATTTAACTTTTTTGTGCCTCAGGTTTCCTAACCCATAGGACTGTTATAAGGATCAAATATGTTGATAGTTGTAAAGAGTTGAGAGCAGTGCTGGGTACACACTAAGTGCCAGATGAGTATTTATTGAAAAATACAATCTGAGGACCTCTATTTGGGAGTTCCCGAGGTAATTAACATCTGAAGATGAATCAGGTTCACTCCAGAGGAAGGTACCTTCAGACATTGGCTATCTTCATCTCACCAGAGGAGCTGTTACTATCATGGTGGAGGACAGAAATGATTTTCATTGATGAGATGACAAGATGTGTGGAATTAACGGAGAACAAGGCTGCAGCAAGCCCAATAACCGCCCTAAATTAGAGTGCTTAGGACTGCTAACATCCTGTGAGTGTACCAGCACATAATAGACTTCGCTGCCTGACGCGGGCTAGAGGGTCACCAAACCCTGTGTTTGAACAGCCTCTCGTCCTTCTGACTGCACCTTTCCTGCAAGGTGCTCTTTGGTGCCTAAAAGGACAGATCTCACTGAGAAGACAGATCAACTTGTTTTGTCTGCTCATTTATCCACGTGTCTCTCTAGGCCCAATTCAATCTGTGACTGACTTGCTCTTTGACACACTCCCACTAGCACAGACACTGACATGAGCTCAACGTGCCGCGGACACCTTCCAAAAATAACCCGAAATGGTAAATTACCACACTGGCTTCGATCTCAGCGTTCAACAAGGCTCAAACAAAATGCCAGGAGGAATTTAATATGTTTACCTCCCAATGGGTTTACAATCCATAAACGTGGTGACAAGCCAAATACAAAGTTAAAAGCAAAGTAAAATGTAAAAAATAACTTTTTCATGCATCCATTTACCAATATCTGTCGAGCACAGTGTGTGTAACGTGGGCTGGACTGGGGTGTGTGGGAGCATGAGGATGGATCAGTGAGGATGGATCAGTGAGGATTCGCACAAGGAGCGAACCAACCCTGATATTGACTAGATCAACTGCCAAGTAACTCGGTGTATAAGCACTCCAGAGCTTACCTATGGCCAGTAGTAGGTCTTCAAAATGCCCAGATACTTCTCCTTTTATGCTGTCCTCAATGTCCTTCTGGCTGATGTTTCTGTATTCATCAAATGCTAAAAAGCAGCACCACAAAAACAGTGAAAGCATCCCAGCTGACCACATGTGACAATATTCCAGTTTTTGACTCAGTATGCAGCAAATCAGGTGGTTAAGTGGCGAGTTCAAATACCCTTCTTTTAAATCATCAAAATTTGAACACGAAGTTTTTGTTTTTCGTATCTTAAAAAAAACAAAACCCATCTACAATAAAACCAGACCTTCATAGGCCATTTTCTTCAATGATCTTTTTCTCTCTCTCCTCTCCCTCTTCCCAGGCTGTTAGCATTTAAAACAGCCTAAAAGTTTAAATAATAAATAATATATCTAGTAAGGTGGGCTATTTTTAAATTATAGTACCACCTGGGAAACAACAATGTGGTCATTAATCAAATGTTTTATCCGCTAACACAATCTTCAGTATGAAGATGTCCTACTGTTGAGCAGATCATTCCCTCAGGGAGCATGGCCTACTTTACACAGACCTGAAGGCGTTCGAATCTCTTGATCACTGTTTGCCCCAAAGCAAAACCTGTACTACATAGCCAAGGATGTGGGCATATTCTGCAAGCTAAGTAAATTTTTTTCCAAGTAAATTTTGAAAAAAATAAATTCTGGAGAGAGATCTAGAATTGTTTGGTTTTTCTTTTTCTTTCTTTTTTTTATCCTCACCAGAGGACATTTTTTTCCATTTTTTGTTCAGATAGAGTGGGAGGGGGAGAGAGAGAGAGAAACATCGATGTGAAAGGAACACATCGAGTGGTTGCCGCCTGCACAACCCAACCAGGGCCGGGGACAAACTGCAACCAAAGTACGTGCCCTTAGCGGGAACCGAATCCGGGTCTCTCTGGACCACAGGCCGATGCTCTAACTGCTGAGCCAAACTGACCAGGGCAGTTTTCATTTTTCAAATAAAGACATTAATAAAGCAACTATGATATACTCTAACCATTGTTTTATAAATAAAATTCTAAGGAAGGGCCACCTCAGAATTTAAAAAATCCTGTTAACATCTTTGTTTCCTCATTTCCCCACGAGCTCGGCATGAGCTGGTCGCGCACCGTGACTGCGGATGTTCTCCAGATGCGCACCTGGAGGCCCCGGCCAGATGCTCAGAGGGAGCAGAGTTCCAGGAGTTCCGGCCTCTGGGTGCTGTTGCTCCCAGAATGGCTCGGGGAGATGCGTGAGTGAGGGGTGGGTGCTTAGCAGTTCCATGTGATGACTGGTCTGACAAAGAGAGCTGTCTCTCATCCCCACGAAATCTAGCTTCGTATCAGAAAGAGCTGAACTTGAATCCATGCTACTACATTAACAGACACTGTAACACCTGGTTCTCCTGGAAAGTGGCGAACTAGGAAAGAGTTGGGGTGGAAGCAACCCAGCCAGGCTCCTCCACCCCACAGGAGCTCTGCTCTCTGCTCTCACCCGAGGGCTGCCCCTTTTCTCCCACATCCCTCCCCCCTCGGTTTCCTGTCACTCACTAGTTATCTATCAGCTTCTAGGGGAACAAGAGTCATGTCAGTTCCGCTCGGCTTCTTGTTTCCTGAACTGTTGTACATAAAAAGGGAACAGCCTCTGCAATGTTTCTCTTCATTTCCCAAACTGTCTGTATTAAACCCAAAAGCATTTGCACAACCACACAAAGCCAAAAGGATTGCACCGAGCGTCCTTACTTCGTTTTAGCTGGGGAAAGCTCCTCAGACACAGGATCTCCGTGAATTTGTCTTCATCCGTGCCCCAGCGGTTCTCACCAGCATTGTAGAGAATCTGGGGGACAGGCGGGAAGACGTCAGTGTTCTATGGACACAGCTCTCTTTCTCTCTCTCTTTTTTTTATCCTCACCTGAGGACATTTTTCCATTTTTTGTACAGATAGAGTGGGAGGGAGAGAGGGGAAGAGAGAGAGAAACATCGACGTGAAAGGGACAATCAAGTGGCTGCCACCCACACGACCAACCAGGGCCGGGGACAAACTGCAACCGAGGTACGTGCCCTTAGCGGGAACCGAACCCGGGTCTCTCTGGACCACAGGCCGATGCTCTAACCGCTGAGCCAAACCGGCCAGGGCTCTTTCTCTCTTTTTGAAGAGGTGGAAAGGGAAGCATGGGAAGTTTCCTCTGTTTCAGAGTTAGTGAGATAATCACTCAAGTCTCTCATGCACGTTTAGCAGACTAGACATCTGAGAGCTGGGGTGGCAGGAGCTAGGGGAACAAGAACCCCGACTGGGGAAGGCAGAGGGCTGGGGCTGGATGCTCCCCGCCTTCAGGCTTCTCCTTCAGACAGGACAGGAGACAACAGCCCCAGCGGTGCCACGGAAATGAGAAGGTAGACTAGGTGGGGAGGTCATAGTTAGAGGAGATGTTTTCTTTGCTCTGTTACTGACCTGGGCATCCTTTTTGGCCAGCTGCTCATCCACTTTTAGACTTTCATCTCTTCTGCCCTAAACAAGGAAGATAAAAGCAAGGTAACCCTTTTAAAGACTGAGGATTCTGACACTCGGTATCCCACCAGCAGGGCAAGTGAGGGTCACCTCCAGCAGAGGTCAAGTAGCACAGAGGACTCAGGCTCCCGGGCTCCAGTTCTGGCCCTGTCACTGAATAGCCATGACATTTGTAGCAAATCACACAACTTTCTGAGCCTCAGTTTCCTACTCTGAAAACGCAAAGATCGTAAGGGAATAAAAAGACAAGCCACAGACTGAGAGAAAATATTGTTGGCAAACATATATCTATCTGATATAGGACTTGTATCCAAAATACATGAAGAATTCTTTTTTTTTAATTCTCACCTGAGAACATTTTTTGATATTTTGTTCAGATAGAGTGGGAGGGAGAGAGAGAGAGAGAGAGAAACATCGACATGAAAGGGACACATCGAGTGGCTGCCACCCGCACGACCCAACCAGGGCCGGGGACAAACTGCAACCGAGGTACGTGCCCTTAGCGGGAACCGAACCCGGGTCTCTCTGGACTGCAGGCTGACACTCTAACTGCTGAGTCAAACTAGCCAGGGCTATACAAAGAATTCTTAACATTCAACAATAAGATAATAAACAACCCAACTGAATAATGGGCAAAAGATCTGAGCACACATCAGTTACTCAGATGATAAGAAATCACATGAAAAGATGCTCAACATTCTCTATCATTAGGGACTTGAGAATCAAAACAGTAAAATACTTATGAGAATAGCTAAAATCCAAAACACTGACACCACCATGTTGCTGGCAAGGATCGCAGCAACAGGAACTCTCATTCATTGCTGGAGGAATGTAAAATGGTACAGCCACACAGTTTGGCAGTTTCTTAACAAAACTAAACATACCTGTACCATACAATCCAGCAATTGCACTCCTTGGTATTTACCCAAAGTAGTTGAAAACTTATATTTACATAAAAACTTGCACATGACTGTTCACTAAAATTTGTATTCATAATTGCCCAAACTTGGAAGCAACCAATATGCCCTTTAACCGGTGAAACATCCTGTAGTGTACTCATATAATGGAAGAGTATTCTGCGATAAAAAGGCAATGAGCTATCAAGTCATGAAAAGATACTTAGCATATTGCCAAGTGAAGAAGCCAATCTGAAATGACTACACACTGTATAATTCCAACTATATGACAGTCTAGAAAAGGCAAAATCATCAAGACAGTACAATGATCAGTTGCGAGGGGTTCAGAAGGAGGAAGAGAGAGAGATGAACAGTTGGAGCACAGAGTATTTTTAAGGCAGTGAAACTATCCTGTATGACACTGTAACAATGGATACATGACATTACACATTTGTCAAAACTCACAGAATGTGTAACACAAAGAGTGAACCCTATTGTACACTATGAACTTTAGTTAAAAATAATAACATAAGAACGTATCAGTATTCATTCAACTGTAACAAATGTACCATTCTAATGCAATATGTTAATAATAGGGGAAATAGTGAGGAGGTTGGAGGAGGGACATATGGGGGCCCTCTGTACTTTCTGCTCAATTTTTCTGTAAACCAAAACTTCTCTAAAAAATAAAGTCTATTAAAAAAAAAAAAAAACCCTCAGCCATGGCTGGTTTGGCTCAGCGGTTAGAGCGTCGGCCTGTGGACCAGAGGGTCCTGGGTTCAGTTCCCGCTAAGGGCATGTACCTGGGTTGCAGTTTGTCCCCAGCCCTGGTTGGGTCGTGTGGGTGGCAACCAGTCGATGTGTCTCTCTCACATTGATGTTTCTCTCTCTCTTGTCCCCCTTCTCTCCCTCCCGCTCTATCTGAAAATAAATGCAAAAATGTCCTCTAGTGAGGATAAAAAAAAATAAAATAAATCACAAACAAAAAAATACCCACTTCAAAGATCCCCACCAGCTCTACTGCTGAAAGCTCTGTGGCTCAGTGTGTGGACTGATTGCCTGAGTTATTTGGAAAATTATAGGTAAATGAAACATTTGACTATAATATTTTAAATGAATTTTAAATTTTTTCAAACATTAGCTCCTTTGCATGATTTATCTGCTTCTTTTCAGTGCTGCTGATTCCCTACTGTTAGTTTGTTTGCCTTCTTATTCTCTCATCATGCACTCTGTTCCAGTCACAAATGCTGATTATCATTGATTTAATAATAATAAGCTGCCAACACCACATACTGATTACTTTCTATGTGCTAAGTACTTCATATCATCTATCTGTCTATCTGTCTATCTATCTATCTATCTATCTATCTATCTATCTATCTATCTATCTATCTTTGCAGCATCCTATGAAGTTAGTACAATTATTACTTCAATTTTACTGATGTGAAAACAAGGGCTTTGAGGTTTAAAGTAACATGTCCAGACACATAAAGCTAGTAGGCAACAGAGGAGCATAAGATTCTAGGTCTGTTTGATTCCCAAACCGTACCCGGCTGCCTCCTGTGCATGTATGTGTGCCGTATGCACACACACAGATGTGCACACACCAAGGACACAAACACAGATGTGCACACACCATATGCACACATGGCTACGCACACACCATGTGCACACACACAGATGTGCACCCACAGATGTGCACGCACCATATGCACACACATAGATGCACACGCACCATATGCACACACACTGACATGCACACTCTGTGTGCACACACACGGATGTGTACTTTTGAATATAAACCTCTGAGGGTATATGTCTGCAGCAGTGCCCCATAAATTGGGTTTGTAGTTTTAATATTCAAAAGGTTTTCACCATTTAAAAACAAATAAAACCAAAATTAGGATAACTTGTTTCCCAGTGGCATATGCCTCACTTTGACAAGTGCTGTTTCAGCCCTCAGACCCAGACCACTGTTGGGGTTCTCTCACCATTACAGGCTGTGTAAATCAGCTGAAAGAGGCAGTGATATGGGGCTTAAATTATTTCCTCTCTTCCTCACATCTGTGATTATAGCTCATCCTTGACCTTGCCACCTTTATTATAAAGTCATGAGCCTCCTAAAAACAGCAAGGTGTGGTCTCATTTAGTCACATGGTGATGAGTGATCTAGCAACTCTTCCAGGTACAAGGACAAAGTTGCAGCAAGTCATTTTTTAAAAATCCCAAGACTGTTATAGCCATCTCGGTAGATGATTTTTTCTGTAGCATGTTTTGTACTTAATTTAAATGCTAACAAAAGAAATATATATTCTTTGGAGTCCAGAGAAAATAAACATGTTCTTAAAATGGAGACACTTATAATGTAAATGAACAGTTATTTTATTTCAGATGAATTATCAGAACATTTCCAATGTATTGTGAAACCTGATCTAAACACTTTTAATCCACATACTGACCATAAAACGATTTTTGTTACATGATTATGTACACTTCTCTGATGATGGCTAAACATTATATTGCTTAGCAGCAATGCAAATGCAAAGTGGGCAAGTCATTTCATAAGGAAAATCGCAAGCTCATTATCTCAGTCTGGTTATGTCTAAGCTGTCTACTAATTATCGCTGAGCATACAGCTTACTGGGGAATTAAAAAATAAACAAATAAACCTTACATCTGCCAAAGTCAACAGAGCTTTCCGGAAGTCCCCAGATGTTTCCGAGCTAATGTCATCTCCAAGACTCTTCTTGTAGACTGAAACCAAATAAGAATGAAATTAAACCTTGACAAACTGAAAAGTATTATTATAAACCAGAGAAAAACTTAAATGTCAATGTTGGCAAGAAATGAGTACCTGACAAAATAAATATTGCCTTTTTTAAAAAGAACTGCCTGGTGTTCTTCTGAGATGGATGCACTGTCATGACTGTTACCAGTGTGTTGTGGTAGGTGGGCAGGAGCAGAGAGAATTGCCATTCTGGATCAAATCGTGGTCCATTTCATCTGACCATGACACCAAGGACCATGCACACAGTGGGACAGCCTGAGTGGGCTAGCTGCTAGTTTTCCTTCCAATTTCTATGATCTCTTTCTTCCATAGTAATAGAACCCTCATCTTGAGCAAAACCCAATGCACACAGCTTAAGGACTACATTCTCAGCTTTCCTCTTAGCTAGGTGCAGCTCCATGACTCCGCTCTCGCCAGTGAAATGCAGGCGCACAAACGTGGCATGGCTGAGAAATCTCTGTCAAGGCTGGCTCGTGCCCATCTCAGTCCCTTCCTCCATCCTCGTGCTGGCCTGTGGATGGATACCTGGAGCTCAGGCAGCCATCTTGGACTCTGAAGATAAGGACTACATTTTTTCAAAAATATGTTTTTATTGATTTTAGAGAGAGAGGAAGGAAGAGGGAGGGCGGGAGAGAGAGAGAGAAATATCAAAACATCAATCGGCTGCCTCCCATACACCCCCTACTGGGGATGGAGCCTGCAACTCGGGCATGTGCCCTGACTAGGAATCGAACCAGCAACCTTTTGGTGCCTGGGACGATGTTGAACCAACTAAGCCACACCAGCCAGGGCAGACCTACATCTTAATGATGGCATAAAAGTAAGCAGGAAGGGGCCTAGATTCCTGAAAGTTCTGAGGAGTTATCATTCCAGTCCTTGAACTGCCTATCTCCAGACCTCTTGTACATATGGGGAAAATACATGTATGCCTTATCTGAGCCATGTAAATGTTTTGTTTTATTGATGCATACAGCTAGATTGCATTATTTGACACCTCTCAAAGGAAAGCTACCATAAAACATACTATTTTTGCATAACAAATGACAACTGTATGCTCACATATTTTAGTGCTGACTAGTTGTAGCTCCTTTTGCATAGCTGGTTCTGTGCAGTGTCCACCGACTTTAAATCCCTGTTCTGTTCCATCCATGTCTCACAGTGACCCTCATGGAGCCACACACCGGGGTGTAGCTGACACCAGGTGGCTGTTTGAACTCTGCCTGCACCATTCTCAAGGGCTCTATAAGTTAGTCATATGAATGCTTGTCCTTCTGAATCAATAAAAGAATTATAGAAAGTGGTAAGAGATTACTTAATAGCAAGAACTGTGTGGAGATCAAAACATGATTTAGTCTCTTTTTTTGAAATCTATAATTTTTCTAGAGCAGTTCAAATAAGCAAAATTCACTATAAATATAAATTATCTAAGTAATAATAACATCAAGTAGGCATCATTTTACCCAATAGTCATGATATTGTTACATCTATCCTTCACTTTAATTAGAAAAACAATTTATTTAAAAATATCAAGCCAAAGAATAAAGTTCTCATTTGTTAGAATTTGGGGAAGAATTTTATATATTAGCGTCATCAACATTAGACCTTATAGTCATCTCATGTAGCTTCCCCGCACCTTCCTTAACCCCAGATGTTTTGCAAGAAATAAGAATATGATACAAAATGCCTAGTTCCTTCCTGAGGGCCAAGCTGATAGCTCCTTGGATGGCTTTCTCACGCATGGGTCGCCCTTTCATGTTGTATGACCCCATCACTCTTGCTACAGCTGACTGCGGCAGGGTCGGCATCTGACTATACTATAGGTGACCTAAGGGGTGACCCGGTGGGAGAATGTTGCCCAACATAATGCTCTCTACTTCCTAAGGCCACTGAATCTTCTCCCTTAGGGAGTGATCTATCAAGAGAAAGAGACAAAGACAAGAGAGTAGCAAAAAAGTGAAAAGACTCCCAGAAATAAGGCACAAAACAAAAGCCAAGAATAACCAGAAACTACGGGCAAATACAAGCTTTGAGCAGACGAACACCCTGTGGTAAGGGAAGAGAAGGTACTCGGCAGTGTCAAAAGCAAAGAAGCAGAGGGAGGAGAAAGAGTTACTGTGATAAAAACGTCAGCACGGGCGCAATGGATGCCTGGTGCTGGGAGAGGGACCAGACAGCTGTGTCCCTGGAGGTGTGCTGCTGTGTCCTGAGTCTCTTCAAGTTTGGTGATACATAATTGGGACTGTTTCCTTCCTTCGCATTTTGTGTATCGTGAATCCCTACTAACCACGGTGACCTGTGTGCAGTTCCATTGCTTCTAGCCTCACAGAGCTGTTTATCACGGCATCCGGTACCTTTGAACTACTGCCACTTGTCATGTTCACAAAATAGTCCTAAATGTTAGAACTTCCGTTGGGTTCCTAAGACCCCAACCTCAATCTTGAGGATATTCATGCAACATTTGAATTTGCCTTCCCTTGTTCTGGGCCCCAGAGCCACCGCCGTGAACAAATCAGACCAGCTTGCTGGGCTCCAGGGGGCCACCCTGTGGCAGGTCAACTCACGGAGCAGTAACTCTCTAAGGACACCAGGAAGTAACAAGGAAGCGTGGTGCAGAGCCCCTGGCTCTGATGCTTTATTATGTGAAAATCTTGTTGAACTGTCAGAACCACAGTTTTTTAAAATATGTTTTTATTGATTTTTTTCTTTTTTAGAGAGAGAGAGAGGAATGAAGGGAGAGAGAAACATCGATGTGAGAGAGAAACATTGATTGGCTGCCTCCTACACTCCCACTACTGGGGATCAAGCCTGCAACGGGGGCAGGTGCCCAGGAATCGAACCGGGACCCCTCAGTCCATGGGATGACACTCAATCCACTGGGCCACACCAGCCAGGCTGATGGAACCAAATTTTTAAAACACCTACAATGTACCCATTTTGCCCATTAAGCAATTATCTTCTCTTCTCCAAATTTACCTCTCTATACCCTGTTTTATGGAGCTGGGTTTGGGACTCTGCAAATTACATGTATCTTCTGTACCCACCCCCAACACTCTGTGAAGTTACCAATGTAGTGGGGTGGGGGTGGGGGCACTAGAGGGAGACTGGGAGGCAGGAGGAAGAAAGAAGAACATGCTATTTGCTTGCTCTTCAGTCCATGTTAACCCAGTGAAGGGCTTTCTCCCTGACAGGAGCAGTTGTCCCCAGGCTTCTAGAAAAAGTCACTTTGCACCCCCATGGGTGCCAGCGCCGGCCAGATGGAAGCCTTTTGCAGAGATCTGAACTCCAGCTCCTTAAGCCTCTCCTCTGAGCTGCTAGTGTCTGAGAACCCAGCCTCTTTCCTGTGCTGTCCCAGCCCTGGGGGTTTACCTCTGTGCTACACCTGTGTGCCCTGTGTGCTTTTTCCATCCTCCAAAAGGTGTTTCAGCAATTCTCTACATCGAATTCTTCTGTTAAAATAGCAAGTGCTATTTCTGTTTTTCTCACTAGGCCCTGATTAACACATCAACAATGAAACAATCACTTACCTATCACTGAGGTATTTACCTTCTAACGAGAATTTCTCAAAGTGGCCTCTCTGAGCCCCACCTGGGGGCCAGTATGTCCCTATTCAGACCTCTCCCACTGCAGATGCTGCCTGGCACACAAACACAGGGACCAGGGCTCCCCTCAGGGACTTGGAGCGTGTTACAGAGGCTGCTCTATAATGCAGCATTGGACTGGCATTTGTCCCTAGTTCCTGGGAAATTACCTCTAAATCTTTAGCATTTCCCAATAATAGACATGTCCTTGCCATTTGTGGCAGGTCTCATGAACCACACCTGGGTTTTTGCTGACAAGGTGACTCAGGATCTGAGTGATCAGGAGCTAGTCACACCAGAAAGACCAACCATGTGATTGGAGGATTCCGGTTTTGAGCCACATGGTATGAGCCTGACCGCTAGGGGGAGAGGGACTGGCGATGGAGTTTAGTTATGTGGCCAGTGGTTCAATTGATCATGCCTGTGTAACGAAACCCCAATAAAAACTCTGACGAGATCGGGCGCGTTCAGGGTGGTATGGCCGTAGACCCAATAAAAACTCTGGAATCCACAGCTCAGGTGAGCATCCCTGGTTGGTGATTATATATCGATGTGCTGGGAGGCTCCTGCATCCTGAGGACACAGAAGCTTTGCATGTGGGACCCTCCCAGACCTCTCCCTATGCAGCTCTTCATTGGACCAGCCCGGATTTGTATTCTCTATAGTAAAACTCTAGTTGTGAGTATAGCACTTTCTTGAGTTCTATCAGTCATTCCAGTGAGCTACCGATCCTGAGGGAATAGCGAGAATCCCTGAATTTGTAGCCATTTGGTTAGAAGTGCATGGAGCTTGGGAACACCTGAATCTGTGGCTGGTTTCTGACGCAGGGGTAGCCTTGTGGGGGCTGTGCTCTAACCTGTGGAGTCAGGCTAACCCTGGGCAGTTAGATCAGAATTGCATTGCAGGGGCTTTCTAGTTTTTACATAGCTGACAGACTATTAGGACTTCAGCTAATTATACTGAATCCACATGCTCAACACATTCTCTAAGTGGGTCATCTAATTTCCCACACCAAAAGTCATGAGGCTGATCTAAGTGGTTTCTAACATATATTAATACACAGTGATTTCAGTCCCTTACATTCATGAAATTAGTTGATTCAATTAAGCAGTGATTGCCGAGAGCAAAAGGCAAAGTATTAAGCCATTGTTATGTAGCAGTTTCTAGCTCAATTGTTTTCAATTTTTCTCTGAAAATCCACAGATTTTAGCCCATTTTAGAATAAAGCCTCCCTTCAATGTCTTGCCTTCTCAAAGGCCTGGTGAAGAAGAGACTGGTGGGCTTCTGGGAAAAGCAGCATTAGCTCATGTGCACATGAATGGCGGCAAAGGTAAGCAGGCTCAGGTATGTGTGAATGGTGGCAAAGGTAAGCAGAATAAGATCACCTGTGTAGTAGGCTTGAGCGATTTCCTTCATCTGCCTGCTTGTCCTGGTGGTTAAGATTTCAATCAATGCATCTTCATTTGTTCCAGCACCCTGAAAAGCAAATCTATTTCAGGAACACTTAAAAAACTTAATTTCATGCATTTCAGTCCTAGTATCTTATTTTATATGGATATAAAGAACAGTTTTGAATAAATGAACATAAGATTCTATATGGATCTAAGGCAGTTTACTAATATTCCATATTTTAGTATTAAATAATATAAATCATGTGGAGTAACTGACATCAAAATTTTCCCCAATTTTTCATATGCTAATATAAAAATCAACTGAATAATTCTAGGAAGAAATAGCATAAAGGGAAAAGCCTACACCACTCAAGATCGGAAGTGAGCACTCAAACACGCCGTTATAGTTAGGAACGGCTCTGCAATTCTTTTCAGCGAGTTCATCCCTATACCAAAGGACTAGGCTGGTCAGCATGTATTGTCCTCTTCATTCAGGGAGATTTTAAAGCCTCAATAATGTACAATGAGCCCACTGGTTTGGGGACCAGTTCCCCCTGAGCTTTGGTCTATATTGAGATCACTGAATCACACTGTGACTCCAAGAGAAGCCATTTACACTAGGACTTGATCAAATAAGACCAATGGAGCATACGAAAGAGGCTGACTTCTGTCCCTCTGTGGCAGATTCCTAGCTGTCCTCCTCTCCCTCCTTTAGAAAGTATTAATTAATTTAAAATTTTAAATACACTATTTTTTTAGAGCAATTTCATGTTCACAGCAAAACTGAGTCGGCTCAATAATCTTTTATCTTCCTTGCTTAGTAATCAAACTCTAATTTTTAACTTAGCACATAGCTACCCAAATAAATACTACATATCTCTGCTTCCCTTAGAGCCAGGTTTATCCATATAACTGGATTCTCATCAATGGAATATAAGTGAAGTACCACATACAGTTCCTGATAGTCCTCAAGGATCAGGGACGCACCTTCTTTGTGCCTTACCCTGTTTAGCTTGGATGAAGACATAGTGTCTGGACTTAAACTGGATCCTTGTTAAACTGGGATGTTTGGAAGAGGGCAAAGGGGAGGTGAGGGTGTGATGGCTTTTTTCTTTTTAATATGTTTTATTGATTTTTTTAGAGAGAGAGGAATGGAGAGAGATCTAAATATTGACATGAGAGAGAAACATCGATCAACTGCCTCCTGCACACCCCCTACTGGGAATCGAGCCTGAAACCCTGGCATGTGCCCTGGTGGGGAATTGAACCAGGACCTCTTAGTCCACGGGATGACACTTAATCCACTGAGTCACACCGGCTGAGCAGGTTGTGATGGTTTCGTGTGTCTTCTTGGCCAGGCCACAGTCTTCAGTTATTTAACCAAATGCTAATTAGGTGTTCGATGAAGGTGTCTTGTAGATACACGTGAAGTCCATTATCAGTTGATTTTAAGTGAGGGAGATTTTCTCGGGTATTTTATGTGGGCCTCGTTTAGTCAGTTGAAAGGCTGTATGAGTAGACCTGAGGTTTCTCTGAAGAAGAAAACATTCTGTCGGTGGACAGCGGTTCTAGCTTGTGCCAAGAGGTCAAGCCTGCCCTTCAGATTTTAGATCTGCCAGCTCCATAATCATGTAACCAATTCCTTGCAGTAAATATTTTAATATATATCTCCTGCCTATTGGTTCTGTCTCTCCGGGGAACTCTGATACAGAGAGAGTTTTTAAAAGTCACGACATAGACAGGAGCCAGACTCTGCTGGAAAATGAAGGTCATGGTAAGGAGTTTAAATTTTAAGTATTCAAATCCATAGGCGATTTATGCAGCTGAATAATATGATCAATTCTAAAAATAACTTTATAAAAATTATTTTGGCTATTCTGTGTGAAAAAATTTGAGATGTACAAAAATGGGGGCAAAGGGACCAATTAGGAGGCCATTGGTATGGTCCAGTCGAGAGATGATGGTGGTTGACCTAGAATATTAGCAATGGATTTTGAGTGATGTGCTCTCATTTTTGATAATGCTTGGAGAAGAGCTAATGGGTCTGCAGATAGGTTTGTAGATTTGGGAGCTCTTAAGAATGAGGGAAATCTAGGTCTTTGGCCTACGCCATGGGGTTGATGATGGTGCAATTCAATCTGAATGACAACAAAATACAGGTCAAGAAACAAACAAAACTAGAATATGACAATACCCTCTCAGCCCAGGATCATGTGGGCTCAAGGTTCTACAACTCCTTCCATTTCAGGGTTGTTCTACCAATTGGAGAGCACAGAATCAAAATGACATCCAAATCTACGACATTTACACCCATATTTCAAGTGTGTAGTGGAGGAAAGTCACTATTTTTGGGACATGGTCAAATCCTGGGCAGAATTGGCTTGTGTAGGGCTCATACCTTCATGGACTTCTTCAGCTGCTTCGCATCAAACATTGCTGGGGGAGTCACGAGGGCCACCATGAGATGCTCGAAGTGGCCAGAGAGATCGCCCTTCAGGTCATCTTTCAGTTCCTACAATAAAAAACCCAAAAAGGTAAGCGACATACTCTTCCTCTTTTTTTTTTTCTTGAAGTAACAATACAGAGGAAAACATGCCCATCCACAGGGAATAAATGGACGTAGTGAAAATATTTCTATGGATAGTAGTCAGCACTGTATGATTGCTTCCAGAATGTTCTTCTATTCTTATAGAAGGTTTTCTGAAGAAAAGCCAGTGGAGAGAGGTCCCATGAGTGCCACAAATGCATATTCAAATGCATTTCCTAGGTCCTTGATACTCTCAATGCTTGGACAGGGTGAGGAAAGAGGAAGAGGAGGAGAAACCCTATAATTCACACCCAGCCTCACTGGTAGAAGTTCTCGTCCCGTTTTGCTTCCCAGTGACTGTCAAAGAGCTTCAAAGGGAAGTGGGAAGGGAAGACAGTGGTTGGTCATTTGCCTCTCGTAAGAGTATAGAACTAGGAAGCATCAAAAGCAGTTTCTGGTAACAGCAGCAGGGGAAACCCTAAAGGTGGCAATGAGGCAGACATTATTTGTTGGTAGAGTCCTCTAATGCTGTTCCCACACATTCCATAAGCATGGTCCATCACCCCTGCCGGAAGGCAAGCAACATGGTTTCTATTTCCAATATTCAGAGAAGTGTTATTGAATATTTTTCCTGCTCTTGATTATTTTCAGCTCTGAAATAGAGGCTGGCAGCTTCCCAGACAGCTGTAACAATGTGGATACAGACCAATGTCTACCATGCCACTGGGGCCAGGGGGCGGGGCCTGCTCCTGCATATAAATTATATGCATATAGATGGGATGGAGCCAAGTGTCACTAGCTCTGCTTTAATTGCCACAGGATGTTTCCTCTCTAAATGCTAAATTCCACCACCATCTGTCCTCATCCCATGACTTCCCAACAGAATCTACTTCACATGCTCTCATTCTATCCTACTGTGAGAAATGGTTGTTGCCCTTCACCGCCATCCTTCCTCTGTATCTTGCAAATGCTGAAAGGCCAATTGATCATTCATGTTCCCTATTCGTGAGTGTGTTGCTTTGCCTAGAAGCTTGGCAATTCATTTAATTCAACAAATGTTGACTGGGACCCTGCTCTGTGCTAGGCATTTAAAGGTCAGTTAGACATTTCCCAGCCAGTGTGGCTCAGTGGTTGAGTGTCAACACATGCACCACGAGGTCACTGGTTCTATTCCTGGTCAGGGCACATACCCAGGTTGTGGGCCTGATCCCCAGTGGGGGGCATGCAGGAGGTGGCCAATCCATGTTCTCTCTCATCGATGTTTCTATCTCTCTCCCTCTCTCTCTAAAATCAATAAAGAAAATAAATAAAGTTCAGTTAGACACAATCTTTACTGCTAGGACATTATGCTCTAATAAAAAAAAAATAGAAATACTAAAAAATAAAATTTCAATATAATATGTTAAGTATCTGATAAAGTGTGCAGGTCAACTATCTCTGAAGGTGTCTCGGTGCAGTCCGGGGGCTTGGAGACCTTTCAGGAGGTGATGTCTGAGCTGCCTTTGCATGGCCACGACACTCCCAATTCTCACCTGGCCCAGTAGCCTGACTGGTCTCTGCTACCATTCCCCCCCAACCACCACACATACAGTTCATTAGCCATGACAGCTAAAATAATCGTTTAAAGCGATAAGTTAGATCATATTATTCCCTTGCTTACAAACCCCCAGTGGTTCTCCATTGTTCTTAGAATAAAATCTAAACTCCGTACCGAGACCCCAAGGCCCGGCATATTCTAAACGTCTCTCCAACCTCATCTCCTGTCCCTTTGACTTTCTGTACTGTTGCCATATGGAAACTCTTCCTGTTTCTTAAATGTTCCCACTTTGACTTTGCCGCAGGGATTTTGAACTTACTGTACCTTCTGCCTGAAATACTCATCTCCCCAGATCAAGCAGAGCAGAATCCTGGGTATTTAGTCTTAGTTGAGGGTAAGGTAAAACCCCTCACTGACATTTCTTCCCACTCCATCTAAAGGGGCCACTTGCCGGTCATTCTCCATCATTCATCCCATTTTGGTTCTTTCATAGCACTCACCAATATCTGAATTAATTTTATTTACTCACTTATCATTTTTCTAATAGAATGTTAGCTCTACAAAAAAAAGAGAGGATCTGCTTTTAATACAGTGAATCTCCAATGTCGATATCTTCTGACTCAGGGTAGTACCCAAGTCCTGAGTAGTTTATTATTGAACAAATAAAGCACGTGAAGAAAAAGACACAAATGTTCTTGTATAGTTCTCAATACAGTTTCTTCTACTTAGTAAGCTTTCATTTGCTGAATGAATTAAACCTATAATTACATACACATGTTAAAGCTGAAAGAGAAATGAAAGCTCACGTAAGCCAGGATTTACCAGGTAATTGGTCAGATGATTCTTTGTTGGGGGAGGCGCTTTCTAGTGCATTGTAGGATGTTTAGCAGCATCCCTGACCTGTACTCACCAGACGCCAGAAACATCTCTCTCTCCCACCAGTGTGAAAATCAAAGTGTCTGGAGATACTGCCAAATATTCCCCGGAGAGCATAATCATTCCCAGTTTAGAGCCACCCATCTAAGGCAACCTTCCTTACTCACCAGGGGAAGGAACTGAGGCCCAGAAAGATGACATGCCCAAGGCTACTCAGCCAGGTAAGGGCAAAACCAGGACTCGTGTTCCAGGCTGTTGACTGGATACAGGGGGGTACTTTCTCTACACTCGCTTCAAACAAAAGACCTGATAATACCATGGGAACATCCCTGGTCCATTAGTGATTAGCTCTTTACTGCCTGTGTTCATCTGTACCTTTCCGTACGCTGCTTGATACTCCTTAACGATCAGCTGCCGCTGTGCGTGTGACCTCTCGGTCAGAATGCCAATGAGCGTTTTCTCGTCAGTCCCTAAAAAAAACGAAAATAATTTTACTCACCCTCAACCCAAAGATGTTTAATATCTGTCATGAACAAGAGAAAAATGATTAATGGTCTGAAACAAATGTAGACAGGAATACATTTTATTTTTTAATTTCCAGGTTATTACCAGGTTGAAATTTTTATTGCTTTGTTTGCTTGCTTTTTGGAAAAGGAAATGAACTTTGTCAGGATAGCTTTGGGGGAAGAAAACAGGCACTGCCTAGATGTTCCTCTGACAGGCAGCAGCACAAGGAACACACTGCTTTTGGACCAGGTGTTCTCACCTGTATGAGGTTCAGTTACTATCTTGTTACCTTTTCTCTTTATCTCCATACTTGATATCAAAATCTTCCTTCCTCCAAAAAAAAAAGGAACTGACATTTTTTGAGAACCTACCATGTGCTAAGGACCTTTTAATTATTGTCATATTTAATATCACAGGGGTATGATTCATTGTCCTAAAGGTGAAGACACTAACATTTAGAAAACTTACTCACTTGCCAAAGTCATCCAGCTTTTAAGTGGTGGAGCAGGAATTTGAACCCAAATCTCTAACTGCAACACATACTCTCTCTGCTCCATACCTTTCTCAGGCATTTCACACCTATATATTAACCACCCGAGTAAAGAATAACATGAGGCCAGGGCTGATGCTGGCCTGCCCAAGAAAGACCTCAAGATCACTAGTTTCTTGAAAATTATAGTATTAAGATAATGTAGGAGTCATGTTAGCCTTCTTAGAAGCAGAGGAATACGCCTGGGTAGGGGAGCCAGGAGCTAACCAGCACGCGTGGGCCTGCGTGACTGGAAGGGTATGAAGATCATTTGGAATGCTAGGCTCGACTTCTCTGTTGAGATGACCCCCACATACCTTGGCTATACACGCCCTTGGCAATCAATGCTACATACTCTACATCACTGATGGGACAAAAGAAACTATGTACTGAGTTAGCTACTAAACCTCCCAGTGCAAGATGCTGCCCCGCTGTCTCTGTGGTCTTGTCTTCTATACAGTTAAGACAACATACACTTACATTCAAGCCTAGTTGCGTCCTGTGAGAATGATGATTAACTTGACCTGTCACGGCATCTGTGTTTCTGGATGACGAGACACTTCCAACTGCACAGATATCTCAAACTCAGCATGGCCCAGGCTGAATTTGTTCTATATCCTCTCTAACTTTTCCTTCATGCTGTTCCCTCATCAATAACACACTATAGATTTAGTTTCCAACCAAAAATCCTGGGACTCACCCTACATTCATTTCTCCTCTTTCCTTCCTACACTGTAGCAATCATCTGCATCTCTTGAATTTGTCCTCTCTTCTGCCACTGTGTGCTCACCATCTATTACCCAGAAACTTCAACATCCTAACTTACCCCCTTATAGTTCATACTCTATATTACTGCCTCACTAAATATTTAAATATGCATCTGATCATATTGATCTCTTGGTGGAAATCATAACGACTTTCTGTAACCTTCAGGATGAAGGTTATGCCCCTTCACTAGTACACCACGTCCTTGGGATCTAGCGCAGATGTTTTATGGAGCCCGCTTTAGCACATACAGGAAGACCTGGCTACCACTCATGGGTCCTGATTTAATGTCATGAGAGGCTGACATGTACCATGAATCTGTTGCTTGTGGGAGAATGCTGGTATAGCAGGAACCTGAACCCAAACCTCGGACTCCAAAACATGTCCATTCCTCTCTGGTCCAGACCTCTCTCGGGCATTTCAGGCCCACATACTTGCAATAAAATTTACTACACCCAATGTCAGAGGAAAACCGCAGAACGAAAGAAGGTATTTCCATGGCCTGTAATGTTTAAACGTTTAATATCTGGTATTTACTTTAAAACTCAATCATGAAGAGGACAATCCAATTAAAAATGGACAAAAGATACGAAGAAGTCAATCATGGAAGAAGCAAATAAACAAGAAATGATGCTTCACCGACTCAGTCGTGGGGATGTGGAGGGGAGAAGAAACACACACACGTGCAGAATGAGGTACAATTTCAATCAATTAGAAAAACTGAATAGTATTGATGAGAATGTGGAACAAGAGGAAACCTCATGTATTCCTCTTAGGAATGCTAATTTGTATATTCATTTCAGAGAGCAGTTTGGCAAAAATTTTAATTTGAAGATAAACATATTCAACCTAGAAATTCCAACTGTTTTATTCTAGAAAAATGCTAGCAAGTGTGCACCCGAGACATAAGCAGAAATATTAAACACAGTATTTTTATATTGTAGTAGAAAAGAATTGTAGGCAACTTCAACATTCCATCAATATTCCCATCTTGCGATGCCGTAATTCAATTGGCTGCTATGCAGTTAAAATTAATGAACTAGAGCTACACATATCAACGTGGATAAATCTCAAAAACATAACGTTCAGGGATAAAAGTTGCAGAAGAATGCATACAGCATGATTTCAATTTATACTGTTTGAGACCGTGCAAAACAACATGTACATACACAGGTAGCTACGACATTACACGTTTCATGGGAATAAACTCTAACTTAGGATAGTGTTTATTTCTAGGGAATGAGATCCTGGAAGAATTGGCAGGAACTGTGTCTGTGATGGTTTATAATAATGATGATTACTACTGTTGTTGGTAGCCATGATGGTGATGGTAGTGTTTAATATTAAGAAAATATGGCAGTCCGGCCAGTGTGGCTCAGTGGTTGAGCATCAACCCATGCACCAAGAGGTCACCGGTTCGATTCCTGGTCAGGGCACATGCCCAGGTTGTGGGCCTGATCCCCAGAGGGGGGCGTGCAGGAGGCAGCCAATCGACATCCTCTCTCATCGATGTTTCCATCTCTCTCTCCCTCTCCCTTCCTCTCTCTCTAAAATCAATAAAGGAAAAGGAAAAAAAAGAAAAGAAAATATGGCAAATTTAAGATGTAATAAAACTGGGTTCCCTATACTTTTCCTTATTGTTTCACAATTTTAAGTCACTTAACAATTTTTCTACTTGAGTAAGCCAACTTGGGCAAACTAAACCATTTCACGTTTAGCCTGTAAAATATAATTTAATTTGCTTCAACATTAAGAAAGGAATTATAAAGCATCGCTCACCAATTCCCCGGATTGCCTTACGAATCACCTCGGCATCCACTGACGGGCTAAAGCCTGGGTAATCGCGCACTGTCCCTCGGTGTCCCACCTGGAAGGAAGTTTTTAAAAATGTATCTTTATTGTTGAATGTATTACAGATGCCCCTCTTTTCCCCTATTGACCCCCTCCTCCCCGTTCCTGTTCCCCTGCCCCTTCACAGTACTGTTGTCTGTGTCCACTGGTTATGCACAAAGGTTCTTTGGTTATCTCTTTCCACCTCCCCTCCTTCCTTTTGAGGTTCCTCAGTCTAACAACCAGTTTATATTTCTTAATCCTTTCATGGAAGAAAATACCTTTAAGTCCCACTAGTTCAAAATGACATTTTTGTTTATAGTACATATGCAGATTCCCATATATATTGGCAACATAACAAACGCAGAATTTGCACACCTTCCTACCCCTTCAGGAGTGGTTCGAGAGAGACACTGGCAATATAACACCTACCACACAGTATTAGGAGGCCTCTCCTTTTCTTCCCTCTTGTGTAACCAATTAGAAATATACATTGTATTAATGCTGGTAACTCTGAAGAATGCTCGCTTCAAAGTGGCATCTGCATGAAAGCAAAGAGAAAGCGGAGATTTCCTCCATCCGCTTTGTTGTCAAGTGGGAATTCCAAGCTCTTCACTGCGTCTCACGCAGAAGTAACTGGCTTGCAGACTTCGAGATGTTTTAGTGAATGTTGCCCACTGTCCCTGGGGAATCCTGCACTAAAGGACCCATAAATGAAAACCTCATTAGCACGGCCGGTTGTTAAGCTTTGTTTAACGGATGTGTAGTTGTGGCTGATCAATTCCCGTCCGAAAGCCTCACTGACAGAGACTTCAGGAAGGGAATGGAAATGAAAACTCATGATGCCAATTTTAAATACAGAAATTAGGAACACGTCAGCACGCTGGGAAAGACCATCCTACAGAAAGAATAAAATGCCTTGAAACTGCTTGAGAGACTGTAGAACAGCCACAAGCCATTGAGAACAATCCAAGTAAACAGGTGCTTAAATGGCACTTTCTAACTCTTTGAACAGAAACCTATCTTTACAGGAACAATAGTTTTTTCTGAGCTGGTGTTCCTACCCTGTTACTGAGCAATAGTGGCTCTGTTATTCTGTGTTAATATGGCTTCATTTAGACTCTCCTGAAGTGTTTAATATTTTCATGGAAAGACATTATCTTGTCACATTAAAACGATGGAAAATTAATGTTTTGGCACTATAACGTGACAGTCTGTTGATTTAATAGATTAGATTAAATAATTTGTTTCAATACAATCAAACATCAATCTTACGAATCCAAAATCAAGAGTTTTGATTCTAAAGCAGTGATTAGAACAGAAGTAACTGGTCGGAAACTAGAGGTGAAGGTGCCTGATCTAAGGGAACGATAAGAAAGCAGTCACCTTGCCCTGGCCGGTTTGGCTCAGCGGTTAGAGCGTCAGCCTGCGGTCCTGAGAGACCCGGGTTCGGTTCCCGCTAAGGGCACGTACCTCGGTTGCAGTTTGTCCCCGGCCCTGGTCGGTTGTGCGGGTGGCAGCCACTCGATGTATTCCTTTCACGTCGATGTTTCTCTCTCTCTCTCTGTTCCTCTCTCTCCCTCCCACTCTACCTGAACAAAAAATGGAAAAATGTCCTCTGGTGAGGATAAAAAAAAAAAAAAAAGAAAGCAGTCACCTTAACATAACCGCTGGAGAATTCTTTCTCCAGGGCCTAATGAATATTTTATGGATTCACAGAGCCAACTGGCTTCATTTTAATTCTATCTGTCTATGAACTCTTGTGTGGGTGTCCACCCTCCACGTGTGGCATTTTAGAGGGAGCACCACGGTGTCACGGCATGTGAGCGCCTCGCGGCCGGCACTGTGCCAGCGCCTATGAACGTGACCTACAACCCGCATCGCTGTCCTGACGGACGAGTAGGGACACGTTCCACATACAAGACACCGAGATTTAAGAAGGTTGGAGAATTTGCTCAAGTCCACGTGACCACCGGAGCAGCAGCATCTGGGCTTGAATTCGGTCATGACCACTGCAGCCCATTCCTAGTCTTCCTTGAAATCTGGCCTCTGGATCACCTGCAGAGCTTCTTCAAAGTGCATCTGACCAGCCCCATCAGCCACACGGAGTCAAACTCCTCAGAACCGAGGCGTTCAGGTAGACATTACACATTTAGGAAGCTCCCCAGCTGATTCTGTGCCACGCATGCCGACATGGTTGCTTCCGAATACAAAAAGGCAAAACTGTGGTCCGATTCGAATTATTTCGTGAATTGTGAAAACACAGGGCTTCCAGTCCAGCCACGACCTCTCCACTGCCCCGTATGACCTACACATCAACATATGCTAAAAATCTGATGTGCAAAATTAGAGAAGAAAGAAATTCTCAATCTGTTATGCAATTTGATACCTAGTAAGAATTAAGTGGGAAGAAACTTCTTGTTTAATTAAAAAACAAAACAAACAACCCTCCCCCCCCCACACACACACACACCAGACTAGAAAAATGGCACAGGCATTCTGAAGGAGACTATTGGTGGTTTCAAACTGCTTCAGTTATTTAAAGAGTAGTGTTGTTTATTTGATGGACTCAGTTGCCCAGAACATTTCAAAATATTTACGTGACTTACAAAAAAAAATCTTATAGTAAAAGAAATAGAATCTTTTAAACTAATATGCCAAGCAGTGAACAAAGTGCTTTATAGACAACTTATTTCACACTACAATGGCCTTAACAATGGGGGGATTGCATATTTCCATTATAAAATGAAAGAAACTGGACCTTGGAGAAATTACTTGCTTAATATAACTCTGCTACTAAGGACAGCCCTAGAATTTGAACCCACCTCCTTGTGCTCTACACCATGTCACAAAGCCCCACAGGAGTCCACAGACTGGTTCTCAAAGTGTGGTTCCGGGATCAGTAAGTGGTGTCAGCATCCACATCACCCGGGAACTTTTTAGCAGTGCAAACTTCAGGCCCCACCCCAGTCTCAGAAATCAACAGCTGTGGGGCTAAGACTCAGGATTTGTGATTTGAACTGATCTCGCCCCCACCCCCACCCCCATCCCCACCCCCAGATGATTCTAATACATGCTAAAGTTTAAAAACCGCTCTATTTAGTCTCAGAGGCCCAGGAAACCAAAGCAAAAAAGAGCAAACAAGTCCTAGATTCCTTAGATTCTTTTATGGGTGTGGAGGAATTTGATGATGAGCTCATTGCTTCAGGAATGTTGGCACTTTTGCTGCCAAACAGAATGTGCCTGCGTGCTTCATTGCAGGCTGCAGTCCCTCACGCTTAGTTACTGACCACGATTTGCCTTAGTTTACTTCTACGAATTCCACTACCCTCACAAAGCGTCAGTGCTAGAGTAGGACACTGCATGAATACTTGTCAAAGTCTTTCTTTTTTAAAAATATCATGTTTAACCAGATTCCCATCCACATCCCTTAACATACTTAGTTGCTTTTTTTTTTTTTTTTTTTCTCAAACTTAACCTTCAGATGCCCCCAAAGGAAAAATGAACCTGAAACTAGTTGGAAAAGAAATTAAAGCAAGCAATGTGTAAATAAAGGGGGAACTAGCAGGAGCTCTTGACATCAATGACAACTGCTGCTACTTACTTGAGCCAAGTACTGTGCTAACCATGTATGTTTCCAGCCTTAGCTCATTCAATCCTCACACCAAACCTGTAAAGCAGATACAATCAATTATACTCACAGATGAGAATAAAACTGTTGAGAAAGTAACTTGCCCAAGGTCACAGCCAGCAACTAATCAGTCTCAGCAATCTTTGCTGCTAATTACTAGGCTAGGCTGCATCTTATTTGAACCGCTGTCTTCATGCCAATATAATTTTCCCTGATGTTCTAACACTGTCCTTTGGAGTCAGATATAGCACAGGAGGCGTTGAAGCCATTGATGTGGCCAAGCTGGGCCTGGGTCTGTTACAACCCCTGAGAGAGGACAGTCTGTTCTTGACTCATGAAAACCAATCAGACCTATTTCTTCCTGCAAAGTGCGCCGGGTTTGCAAAAAGTTAAACTTCACCATTTAGAAAAATGGGTGAAAGGGGAAAACACAAGGTGCCCAGACTACTGAGAAGAAACATATGTAAAGCCCGATGCTCCAGAGCAAGGAGAGCAAGGTGAGGCAGAGCTGAATCACTCCTCTCTTTATAAAGCCCTGTAAAGGTCACATCCCAAAGTTAAGCTTTCCAATCAATGCCTCACGTAAACCTCTAGGACTCAGGAACTCTCCAAGAGCCAGAGAGAAATGACCATTCCTTGCTCAGTGTCAAAACAGTCTGGTGGTGAGGTTTATGATAAAAGAAAAAAAAATGGAGTAGACTAAAAATATAAAGCAATCAAAACTTGGAAAATGTAAGACCTCTTTTTCAATTTTTCAAGTAAAAGGTGATTTCTAAAACCAAAGAACGTTTATCATGAAAGGCCCTGAAATGAAATAGGGTCAAGCTGTTATTGGAGAATTGCATGGACTGCCCTTTTCCGTTGCTAGTGAGAGTGGGGTTCTTGGGGTGCCACTGGAACAAGCATTTCTGGAGCCCCCACAGGAGGATGAGATGTGGTATAAAGCTTTATTTGCATGGAATTACATCCCTAGGTTTGCAAAGTCCCCTTTCCCTTTAACCAGTCCTGGAAGAGGTGTAGCTGGGGATTCAGCAGAGCTAGAAGCAAGGCCAGTGTCCGAAGTTTACTTCCATGTTGGAGCTGGGTCTGCTGCAGCACCAGGCTAGTCCCAGCCCATCAGTCCATTGTGTGGGGGTCCACATGGCTGTGGGGCACAAGGGTGAGCACAGAGCGTGAGAGCCTCACAAGCCAGGAGTCAGGTTTGAGCAGCAAGAGAGCCCCAAAGAGAGGGAGCTCCTTTGTTCGGGAGCTTAAACATCAGATCTTCCCTGCCTTGCAGTGGCAACGCCTATTCTGGCCAATGACCTGTTTTCAGGTGTGACTGACAGGCAAGTATCTTCCCCGTCACCCAGACTTCACTAGGCATGCGTCTATCTGGCCTTCCCTTGGCTCCTTTCCTGTTAATT